ATAAAGCTATCAATATTTCAAATGAAAAATGTAAATATGCAGCCTTACTGTTAAGTAATTTCAGTTTTGTATGGTGGATTTGAAAAAAACGAAAGTATGGTTGCAAACGATCAGTTGTTAACACTGGTTAACGCTAGAACTACTGAGCATTTATTGAGGTCGATATGTAATTCTTATAAAGATTGTAATACATTTTTTTTCGATTTCTTCACATACTCGTTGTGATATTTAAGTAAAACTGTTTATTTTCAAGATCATTTCAGATATTGAATACTTTTAAAATATCAATAATTGCAAAATAAGAAAACTGAAATCTGTTATTTTGAAGGGTACCGGTAGTTTTAGTGTTAAAGAACGTCACGCATACGTGGCATATGCTATCAATGTGTTGAAAAACAGTGCTACGATTCTACTCACCGTTGACACTACCATCGCAACAACAATGATCATTTATAACACTTTCATCTTCGCAGTAAGTTATTTCTGGCCTCGTGCAAGGCTTGCATCCTGGGATGGGTCCTGGAAAAGTTAAACGAATATTATATTCTATTTGATCATTTCGGAGAAGTGTAGTTTTCATTGTCTATATTAAAGCACTATAGTAGAATTACAGTAGAATTTTGATTACACAAAATATCATGAAAAAATTTCGTTTCTGGTAGTCAACTGAACAGCGAATTAAGTACAGTTCTATTCAGTGTGCAACGTCTCTTATGCATATCGAAAAAAATTCATGAAAAGAAGTTTGCATGGTTTCAAGGCATGCATATCTTATTTACAAACAATAAATACTGCATTATAAAAAAGCTTATATTAAGTAATAATCAGTTAATAAAACATATTGATGATTTAACATGACATTTAAAGCGTACTTAAGAGTATTCCTTTTTAAAAGTAATTTTACACTTGTAAAAAACCGTTCAACCAAGAAGATATAATTTGTTATTTAAAAAAATGAATCGAAAGTGTATAGAAAAATTTGTTCATTTGAGTATCTCGTATTCTAGAAAATTGAAAATAAATATTTTTTAAGCGATTATCTATATACTAAGTATACCCTTAACTGAGTAATTACAAGTGGTACGATGAAGGAGGACTCTACAAATAACAATTATAGTTATATATTGCAAATAACAATTAAGAATACAATATCATTAATTTCAGGGCTCGTTTTTGAGAACACCAAATTTAAACGTATTCTATTAATAAATAGTGTAGATACGTATACACGTAAAATACTGAAACTAAATGTTTTTGAAAAATCAAGTTCAAAATGAAAAAATCATATTCCACGTTTTCTACTATTTTTCATGTACAATAACTTCCTGCCGATTATATCATCCGTATTCAGAGAAGTCAGTCAAGTGCACATGTACTCGATAAATTTTTAATCTTGATTTTCTAAAAAAACAGAAAAAACAGACCATAAATGGAAAAATGTTGGTTTATTTTTCGATCCATTTTTTCAACAAGAATTATCTTCTTCCTACTATGTCCAATACAAACATGGGGTGTAATACATTCTTTTCTTGTTCTCTTTCATTATTTATTGCACAAATTGTAATATTAATAAAATACTAATATAATATTTATATTAATACAATAATATAAATATAAATAATAATATATTAATATAAAAACATAAGGTATAATAATATAAAAATATTATTTATACTAACATAATATTATTAATAATTTAATCTATCTTCGGAATTCAAGATGCGATTGTGTCATTGATATTTCACTGAATCGACAGTCTACTGTAATTATAATTTAACCATTTTGATACTGATCATTCTGAAACTAATATTCTATTTTCTACAAATTATAAATGAACTATTAAAGAAGCGAACAATCGTTTGCGCAGATACTAGCGGAAAAAGCAATCAGGTCGCAGCCACATCACACAACGCTGAAATACTGTAAGAATGCCGAGTTCTCAGATCTTCAAAATTATATGCTCGCTTCGATCATTTAGTATTACGCATCTCCATCCTCGATTCCGGGCAGTGTTATTAAAATACGAGTCAATTCACATTAAACTGTCGGAATATTAGTATGATTCACAATAATTAGTGTCTCGAGGTTCACGCAATTGTCTTGAAATTGTGTCGTGGATACAGACGACGTTATTACCCATGTTATCGTCTTAGATACAGGAACGTTCACCATTGATAACTAATTACTACATTCCATTAAGTTATATGCAAGTTCAAATAATATTTGTGCCAGTCATTAGCCAAACGTACAAAAAAGACATATAATAATCTAGAATTACTTTTAGTCTCCGTCTAAATGAAAAATCAAATAAATGTTATATAATGTTACGAGTGTAATTATCACAGATGTAACTTTAATCTAAGGAACATATAAAATGCATAACTTAATACATCTTTGAAGTAATCTTCCTTATTATTGCAAATCTTGCAAGCCCAATCAAATCTTTGTCATTTCACAGTATTAAACCCAATAATAAGGAAATTTATTTCAAATATAAAAAGTTAAAGGTCAATCAAATACTATCACGACAAAATGTTTAAAAATTCAAAAACTGTTGTTTTAATAATTGATTTAGCCAATGAGGAGTTCATTTAATGAAGATAAGAACTATATGTTCAACTGGTATCAAAATTGAAGCAATATGAAAATCGAAAAATTTGAAAGGGGAATCAATAGAAAAAGTAAAAGAAACTTAGATAAATAAATACATACGATAACGCACAAACATTAGAATACCACCCGCAGAATCGACGAAACGAACGTAAAACTAAAACCTAGCCAAACTAATCGCCGTCTAGTCTAGTGACACTAACGAAAGAGATAACCTTGGCTTCTATTTCCTGTCGATTGTAATGCTACGTCGAAGAAACAAACGATCAGTACTGATGCTCGATCATTTTCAGACACCGAATACGCCAAGAACAGGCTGTCCTCCTGTGTTCTTGCATGCATGAAGCTTAAACGGATAATAAATCCCGATCTATCGCGGTTCGGTACCTTTTTCCTCCCAACCAGCTGCAATGTAAGAACATGTAATTGTTGATTAACGAAAAACGAGAGGCCGACCAAGTTAATTCACTGGATAGGGATGCAGCCTGAAGTATCCGTTTAAACAGATCAAAGGGAAGTTATTCTCGGCGGAAAGATAAATAGATTTCTGTGCTTCGTAAAGATGCTTTATAGACCAGACGTAGAATGAAGTCAGACAAGGTGCTGAACGTAACACTTTTAGTGTGTATGTATTTACATACAGCGGAATTTCGTAAAGTTTCGTACCGGGGTAAACTTTCAGCTTCTTCGCCTCGGCAATCGCATCTTCGTAAAGGACCTCGTGTTCCAGAAAATACTCTTCGTCCGGATGATGGTTCACCACCGTGACCGACTCGAGATTACCGAGGTTCAGCAACAGTATCAGAATTTTGAATGCGTTGGCGTGGTTCATACTAGGGCCTCTTCCTCGACATCTTTGAACGCAACAGACACCGCAGCGTTTTCAAACATATTCCGCTCCGACTCGAACCTTGGAATAACAAAAAATATCTTTAATTCAATTAGAGTCGAATGGCCCGATTTCATTTATATTGTCAAATATTTATATTCAACCTCTTGACATATACAAATTAAATGTTATTTTTCTATTATCAATTGTTAACCTTTTGAGTAAACGTATACATAGAATGAGCATCAAAATTTTTTCCTTTTCTAATAATAATTTTTTAACATACTGAATCTTGCACAGAGGTCTATTTAACACTAAAACCTATCATACCGGTCAAAACGACCTATTCCTGATATCTTCTTTTTGCAATTATTAAAAAACTAACAGATGTTTCTCTGAGAAATTATTAATGCAATTGATTCAGCAACACGAAAACGGAATTGTAAAACAATGAAAGTTTCTATAAAGGAATGTCAAATAGACAATTTAACTGCTCGGTAGCTTTAGCGTTAATTATTCTTCTGATATGTGTTTACTTTCATAAATATATTTTCTTTTGTTAGGAATCAATGATATTAATAATGCAATAGATCTTTTGAAAACGTAAAAATACTATTATAATTCCTAATTTTCTGTCGTTTTTCTTTTCGGGTTTTCTATAGTTTGAAACGATTCCTGTAACTTATGATACAATAAGGAAAAAGGTGGTTGTGTGTATTGTATAAAAAGTAACTCGATACTATAAAATATCATTTAATCGTTTGAAACTTCCTTTTCGAGAGAATCAAGTTTGTGTATCAGTTGAACAAATCTATATTTCAGGAGTACTTGTAAAAAAAGCTTGCAAATGTAAGTCTTACAAATGAGAAAAGTGTTCTTAAATTGTATACTGGAGTATAATAAAGAATACAATCTTTCAGTGTTGGTGTACGAACAGTAATTTTAGTGTATTTTTGGTAAAAGAACAATATTTCCTAGAAAAACTCTTCGTTCAACAAATTTCTGACAGAACATCAATCAAACTTAATCTTTTCGAAAATTAGTTCTCAAATAAATGAATGTTGCAACGCCTGTATTTTTTCAAAGCGTTAAACAAGTGAAACGAACTTTGTTGAACTGTTGTATATTTGTTTCTATTTCTTTTTTTAGGTTATCACCCGGATAATTTACAATTTGTTGTTGTATATGTTAGATTTATTTTTCTTGTTTAAGATCACACCCTTTCCCGTTGAACCACCAGTCACAGGACACCCTGTATAAGGATTGTCGCAACAGGAAGTGTATGCAAGATTACAGGATAAGAATGCGACGGGACAGAACCATACAAACGATAACGATTGCTGTATCATCCTGATCCAAGGTAAATCCTAAAAAAGATTCTTTATTTCCGAAAGAATTAAAGTGATAACGTATTACGCATGTGATGTTTTAACCGCATTCACGATTCAAGCAAAATATTTTCACTTTTTTTAGGAAATATAATACCAAATGAAATTTGATATACCTAAATATTAAATCCTAATTACTCGACTTTTAAATAATAGCATATTAATGTTTCCTCTTTTAATTCTATTTTGTAATAAATACTTGTGAACATTTATGTGTGGAATATGTTAATTAACTTTTGTAGTCGTCATTGAAAACTTACTGGCGAGTATTCGTAAAAGAATTAAAAATTTAAAAATTTTTAAATATAACACTACACATTAAGTGTTTATGAATCGAGTTTAATGTTACACATTTTTTACGTGAACCATAGAAACAAAGAAAGGAACAAACTCATCGAGCGAACCAACAGGCCGACGACATAGAGGTGTGAAATACGCGTGTCAGTGTGTGTATCTAATTTTTAAAACTATAAGGAAACATCATCAGGCATAATCACAATACAAGTTCACGACAGTATCAAATAATTACATCATCTAATCTTTAGATCTATTGTTCAGGTTAAGCCGGTTTTTTAATGTCGCAGTCTGCACGCGAAATACACGGTTGACTTGAACGCGAGAGGTTTTGATATCGATCGCGTAATTCATTTCGGGAATGATTCATCCCCCCATACCCTTAACGCGTACGGCGAGCTGCTTTTGCTATTTTCACAGAAAAATTCGTCAAACTCTGACTAATAAGTTCGTAAACAGGCACTGTTGCTTTTAAACACAGAATTGTCCTTAAACATTTTCTGTACTTCTACAATATGTTTCTTTATATATAAAGAATAATATTGTATTAACGAAACAAAGTATTTTCTTAAATAAACTTTATTTAATTGTTATAACTGGATGGTTATTTAATGAATTATATGAAGAGAGATAAATATTTTGAAATAGATTAATTTCAACAAAACAAAAACGTTATTGATACATAAAATAAACAATGAATATTCTGAAGATGTATAATATATCTAAGATAGTATTTATAATATAATATAGTATATATATAATAATAATATTATACAGGGTGAGTAATTCAATCGTGCCATCTGAATTTACTTGCAATCCATTTATCACATAACAGAAATGTTCGAAACCAAAGTTATTCAGTATGAATTAACCAGCATTTTCGTCAGCCGTAATTTCTATGCAATGAACTTCTGTCTGAAACATATTTGTACGCCATAAACAAATTTTAATGGTACGATTAAACGACCTGTATAATATATTCGAGATAGTATCTTCCACTATCAAAAGATAATGTACTTCAATACATTTAAAACCGTGAAACAAACGATCAGAAACAAGTTTTAAGACATTTCATTCTCTATCTGTATAATCTACTGTTTTATTATTTTCACGGTATTTAAATAACGATAACGTCGTCAATTATAAACGGATGAAAGAAAAGATAATATGTCTTTACACGAGTGACATTGCATGATATAATTAAACATACTTGATTACCACGAGAAAAGTACCCAACTACGCTTAAACTGCTTATGAAACCGGTTAAAAGTGTAGAGGGTAAGTAAGAACAGCGTAAAGATAAAGTAAGGTAAGTACTAGAAGTTGTAGTCGTTGTGAGTCACATCCTCACGACAAAGACAGACGATCGTTAATTAAGTCCAATTAAGGGCCCCGTACGCGAAACACGGATATCTTGACTGTTCGAATCAAGGTGGCATCGTGGAATGTCTTCCTATTAATATTATCCATATTTTCCGCGCAATTTTCGCGCCGAGAACAATATAACAATACAATGAAAAAGTACTTAAGAAGGTATAATAACTGAACATCATGCAGTCCTATAAAACGAACCATTTCGAACTGGTCTCTAAGTTAATTAATACTAGAACTACCAAGCATTTAACATGATTGATGTGCAATCCTTATAAAAATTTTAATAATGAATTATTTTCAGTTTCTTCAGACATTCACTATAGTATTTAACACTAAAACTACGGAGCAATTAAAGTGACTCACTTCCAAATTTTTATAAAAATTAGAACAATATGTTTCTTGATATTCGAAGGGTCTCTTGTATCCGTATAAATACACAAATTTAATTGAAAATCTGTCGCAAAAATGCCTTCATAATTGAAATACTTGCAAAATAAACGTTCTAGTGGATCAATTTGACCTGTCCGATAGTCTTAGTGTTAAGTGAAACTATTCATTTACAAAATTATATCGAATATTCAATGCTTTTGCTTGAAGCTTGATTCATGCTTGATTCATGCTTGAAACCAGTCGTTTTTACTGATACAATAGTTCTAGTGTCAAGGCGTTATTCGTTTGAGCAATTATATCACGAGCGTACTTCTGTTTCTGGATTCATTGAAGAAGACATAGACCATGAACAATGTAACCAGAAAACTGTATTTATCTTGTAACTTCATAGCTGAATCTTCTGCCACGAGGAAACGAGCGCAGTCTAGAATCTAGATCGTTTAAATTGACCGCAAGCGTGTTCCTTCCATTTTTCGACTGCTGTAATTCTCCTATACGAGACACCACGACAGATGTGCATAGGTCTCCGCGCTTTGTTGAAATCCTTCTGGTCAGCTTAAATGGAACGCTGATAAATGTTTTATTTTATTTGGAATTATCTCCGCGATACCGTCCTTACTCTGTCGTCGCTTCAATGAACGAATACGTCAGTTACTACATATTTTTGGATATAACGGTTGACATAATCGTTCGTAGAATTAAAAGAGTTTAAGTATCGCACGAACAAAATTATAGATTTCAACAATTGGATTTCAGCGACACGATCTAGCGCTGTTGCTGCAGAGGGCAACTTGTTTCCAGTTTTAATTAGAGACTATAATTCGCGTTTCGCCACTTGGCAATTAACAAACAAACGTTCGCGCGTGGCGAAATAACCATGCGTCTCATTATCTGAAACACAGTGGCGAATAAAAGTAAATATTTTATACCCGCTTGAAAACACGTTGATAAATTTTTACGAAGCTACTCAGTTTCCTGTTTCCAGAAAGCAAGTTTTTCTTTACATTTTTTACAAGAGTACATTTATCTCAACTTGAACTCTGACCCCGTCGAATTATCTTTATTTTTTCACTGTTATTACGAAAAGAAAGGAAAAGCCTACGGAAAAAATTATCGTTCTTATCGATACTCCTTTTAACCCAGCTGAGAGCTGACGCATGATACACGCTCCACTTTTTAAATATTTTCTTTGTAATTTCGTGAATAAAATAATCAAAATACCCTGTAAACGCACTATATATTCCGCAAAACACAACGTCAACGCTTAATAACACGTTTTATTCGTTTTTCATTATATTTCTCGATCACGTAGGCCACTTCTTTATTGTTCATTGGCAGAATACGGTACGTTAATATTCTTACCATCGCTTTACATGTTTCCTTGTCACCGCAGATAATTAATTGGAGAAAATTCGTTCGCCGAAACGACAATCTTCGTTCACTAACACAAAGCAACTGGATCGTTACTCCAAAATGTATGTCGATGTAACATGTTTACCGGAATGTAAGTTGGAACATTGTGATTTAAAGAATCCATTTATGATTCAGAAGGGTTTTTGTGTTATTCATTGAACGCGGAAAAACTGTTTGAAGTGAACGGCGGTTAGAAAACACAACGTGTCCGCGGACAAGCAACCGTCGAACAGTACAGGCTACGTTGAACTGTCGGCTGAGGGCTGAAAAGAGTGTTAGGCACCTCCGCCACCGTCCTATAGTGCGGTTACTACGAGGCGACTACTAGAACACGCCATCTTAGATTATTATATTTTCATACTTGTTGCTGAAATTTCTGTTTAACCGGTGAACTACGATTGACGAGTATACACGTCATCTTAAAACGCAAAATTATAGTGTAAGTGTAATTATTAATACTACGAATACCATTCTTTCAACGATGAATTATATATTTTTTCCGATACACGTGTAATTATTTTTCGTTTCACTTTAGTTTTTTCGTTAGGGTATATCATAAGCGTGTTTACCACGCGTTTGACGAGTGTACAGTTTATTGTTCGATTTTATTGCGCGCACAATGAACGATTTTTCAAGTTAAATTCTACAGTTAGGCTAATACATAATACATACTCGTAAATCTTGGTTTTTCAAACAATTTTTATTCCGAATATTTATTTCATTAACAATCCAATGTTTCATAAATTCACAGCTTCGTAGGTGACTGATCGAATTTCAATTGTTAACAGCAAGAATATATTTATTCTTACACGTATTCTGGATCATTGAAGTAGAATGTGACTTCTCATGTTTTGTTGTGCATACATCAGTTATATAATGATAAGACATAGAGATACCTATATTCGTAGCACGCGTATGCATATATTTATAGGATGTACGAAAACAAAAGTAAATATTAAAATTAAAATTTATGAAACATAACGTTAACGTCACTTAAAAATTACTCTGTTCTGTAGTGTATCATAATTATTTGTTTCATATACACCAATGGAGACACAGTAATTATTTTTTTTCGTTTCATGTCTTTAAATTAATTTCTTTGTGAGTTGAGTTTACTTTCTTAAGAATTATTTCATAAAATAAGTGAATAATAAATTATAAATATTACAAACGTGACCAGTACAAGTAAACTAGTTTTCAATAATTTCAGTTCGAATAGTTCAAAAAGTTCTTAAGAATAAATATCCGATATTATTAGACATTGCTGACGTTCTAGCTGAGAGCTAATCACATTTGGCTCGACTTTCGTACCCACGTGCAGATTTTTACTATTCAACAGCTAAGGACTCCGCAAACAAGAATACGTGCTTCAGATGCGAGTACGAATACCGAAAGGCACGGGCATTCGTACAATGTTATAGGAACTCGCATGAATACAAATTTCGTATGCGCAAAACTGCAATCCAAAATTAGATATTAACATTCTGTTGTACCAATATCAATGCGATAAAAAGGTTCGTTGTGCTAAGCGCTAAAGAATGTTCAAAGAATAATAAAATCTGTAAAAACTTATTTATGTCAAAAGAAACAATAATAAATTCGAAATATCTTTATATTTTAAAAGTTCTTATTCTTTTAAGCCAATTATGGATGATGAAAACTGTATTAACACTGTTTATCGCCGTTTTTTACTACTCAATGACGATTTTCATTCACCTTGCATTAAAAACTTTTGATTATATACTAACAGTCATATTTACATTAGCCTATTCCTTTCAAAATATAGATACAATTAGTTGTTAGTGGTGTTATTAACACTAGGTTTACGGAACCCGTCAGTTTAACGGATATTGAATTTTTACAACATTGTTTAGTAAAAGTTTAAGTCGAGTCTGATTCAATTTTGCGAATACGAATTGCGATACTCTGATTTCGAAGCTACAACTTCCGCGATTTATATAGACGAACACATAGGTTTCTAGGAACAGTAGAATAAACTGTAGAATGAACGTCCATAAATCTAGTGTTAATCAGACAAAATATTAATAAAAATTATTTCTCTTGCTATATACAAAACACTGTTACATACTATATAATACAACTATGCTCTGTACTTTTCTATATAAGACGCACGATTACAGATACGTTTATATAAAGCAGGCATTCTTACCTCCAGAGGAAGATAATCTGCGATTGTATGCCTTCACGATTGAGTACATTGAACACGGACCGCTTTTACTATAGCAGACACCTGGATTCGTAGGGATGGATGGAACGAGTGCGTACCCGTATAATACCGACGTGGAAAGCCGCTTTTAAGAAAGCATTGAAAACCTTACGAAGAAGGGTCCGCTTACGCTTATTGATCTCGTCGACTGAGTCCTTGCAGTGGTTCAGTCCTATACCTTGTATATACTATATACCAATGTCTTCGTAATAAATTATTTTCGCAATTTGTTTAACTCCTGACCGATATCTTTGTACAAAAGTTATTTTCACAATTCGTTCGACTTCTAACAAAATAACCACACACTGATTACGATTGATTATTTTTCTGAATTAATCGAAGAGAGATGATACTGTTGAAATTGAACAAAAGGCTCACAGAATGTTGTTTTATTCAAATGAACTGCGACATTTCTTGAACGTTTCGAGGTAATCAGAATTTTTTCGAATGAACTAATGTGCGTAGAAAATCAATCCAGACATAAGTTTCTTGCCTGTGGTGTAATTAGTTTCAAATTCTTTATAGTTTCCTTTAAAATTGTATTTTTCCCTTGGCATCTCCCTTAAGAACTACTGAAACGATTTTCATCGTTTTTTTTTCATCATTCGAAACAAAGAAGAATTACGTAACACAGAATTATTTTTAAATTAAATCTGTAACTTCAAATTTATTTATATATTACAGTGTTAAAGATAGTCGAATTTTTTTTAATTTTGTGTTTGCGATTCTTCTTGGTCCTTCTGTTGCAAAAAACCTTGCAACATCGTACAACGAATCTTATAATATCCGGATCATTATTATTCATTATTATATTCGAAACTATTTATTATCATATATGTATTATAGACATGATAAAATACAATTGATTTCTTTTCATTGTTTTCGCCTGGTGTTAAAAGAAAATCTGCACTTTAAAATTACTCTAATTGTAGATTATTTACATACATTATTTAAAAATCGATGGAAACAATGAACTGATAGACAGGCTTCCAGGTTGATTTATATAATTGTGGGTGTGTCAGTGCCTAGCCCTTGTACGCTTCACGTGCTCTTTATAGTGACACACCCTGCGTGTGTGGACCCTGAAGTAATCATGTATTGTAAAACGCGCAGCTTGTGAACAGAATACGTCTAATTACAACTCCTCGCCGAAATTCGAAATTTTCCGTGGTTGTTTAAGTATCTCATTAATGTCATGAACCTTGATACTACATAGCAATGCATTTGCAGAATTACTTTCGTACAACTGTTAAAATGTTGTGTTGGTAACATTTTTAAGCACTTCCTTAGTAGTCTCACAAATGATTTTTACAAGTATTTCGTTTCTCTACTTTCGCTTATAACTTTATGTAACTACGTTATCTAGTATCTAATATTTATTTTTCACAAATGAAAAAACGTTCCAAGACATAATTCTTGCAACAGAGGAAAAGTTGATATTCTTCAAATTGTTGAAACTCTGTTGTTGAAAACTGTCTTCGACATTAATTATTAACGTTTGAACATGTTTCATGATTGTAGAACATTTTAAGGGTACTGCAATGGTGCTTCCATATTACTTATAATGTTGAGGGATAATTGTTCAAACAGAGGAGCACAGACGTGTAATTATTTACGGTCAACTGGGTCTATCAATCATATCGGCCGACGATGAGGGTAAACAGGATTACCAAAAGCAAGCGAAATAGAACAACAAGAATTGACCTGCTGTCAATGTGAAATGTATAGAATTTAATATTTTGAATAATGTAAAATTTATTTATTTCCCACTGAATCTTTCTAGAACCATTATATTTTCCAAAATATTTTAACTTTCCTTCTATGTCTTTCAACGTCCAATAAGTGATTCTTCTATATTTTCGTATATTAAACACGAAATTATAACCCCTTTTCATCATCACTCTGAATTCTTGTGAAATTTCATTTAAAAAAAGCAAACAGATGAAGAAACCAAATTTTTACTTTTAAAATTAAGTACTAAGTTTAAAAGTAGTAATACTATTTTATAAAATTTGTTGTGACTTAACTGTAAAAACTACAGAAATATTTCTGGGAAAGAATGATTTTATGGATTATTTTAAATAAAATAATATACATTTTATTGATCAATATAAACAGTTAAACGTGTTTACACACCCGTTACGTGTGTAATTATGCCATAGAGGTAATATTAAAACAGTTTTTGTAAATGGACAACAAAATCGTAAGCGCAATGTCAAAGAGATTTTCATATTTTGTACCATCCATCCCAGGGAAGTATCATTTCTCTCAATTACTTTTATATTAATTTGTACAATTATTTTTTATTTATATGTGCAAAGGTGATTTTAGTTATTTTTTCCAATAAGGAACGGGTGGCCTTTGAACATGAAACATACATATACCGCGGGTATAAATGTGTCGGATTCTACATCAATTTTATCGATCCGAATAGATACAAAACATCTGCTGACTATTAACTGCTCCCGTTCGAATGTTTATATTTTCCTCGCCAAGAAAGCTTTCTTCCGCACCGGACTGGTATATCTCAATGAACGGTTTATTTAGTTTCCCGTAGTGTTAAACAATGTACTGGAAAAACTGGGCGTAGGCGATAAAACGCGCTTACTTCGCTGTAACTGTTTTACCAATTAATTGCGCAACCTTCAAGCGATAATTTTAATGGAGCCACTTTAAGCTGAACCATTCTTCGGGAATTCACGATTTGTAACATTCAAAGACCGATGTTACACTGCACAGCGATCGTAAAATTTATTGTTTAAATCTGCACATTTCTGAGAACTGTAATACAAATTAGAATTCAAATTGTGTAAACTATAAATAAATTATCTGTCTTCTAGTGGAAATGTAAATATTTAACTACAATCGCTATTCTCAAAATTAGTTTTTTCGAACTTTTTCTCGTATAATCTAACACGTTCGTTGGTAATCGAAGCTCGCCTAAATGTTTACTATGTAATATTTTTGAGTAGGTAATTTATCTGAGTCCCTTTATATCATATAGATAAATAGAATTATACATATTCGATTATAAATTTTACGTCCAGAAAGTCTTGAGCACCTTCTAACACTCTTATAAATTAATCACATTACTTACTCTGATGTAGTTGCTATCACTTCATGGCTCATAGATTGAGAATCGCTTATCCAAACTATCTTAAATTATTCATAATTACTGAATTAAATAATTAATTACTGCGTTTTTCACTGTATGGAAACGATGAATACGGGAACTAATATTAACATTTAATTAACGGATGGTTAAGTGAGAGAATTTTCGTTGACGGTCGTTAATATTCTTTAAGTTTGCAGAAACAAATAAATTTACAAAGAAATTGATCATTATTATGACTAATAACTTACAAACTACTTCAATCTACAATATAGTTAATAAGTTAAATAATTAGTTAATCGATTAAAAACAATATTATGTACTTCGTTTTGCTATCGTAGAATCCTCTTTAAAGGCTTCTCTAATAACATAATCATATTTTGTAAAAAGAAACTTAACTTATAAAACAGGTATGGAAAGGACTATATCATTAGATCTTTACCAATGGAGCTTCTTTCTTTGTTTTCTTTCCCTTTTCCCCTGCTTTAACATTATTATAAAAAAAATTAAAACACCAAATATACTGACAACTACTGACGTCTGTGTCGAATATGAAAGCTAGCATATTTCTTTTATTTCTTCTGTATTTTATGATAATTTTGATAATTACTGGTAAGTAATAAGTGGAAGGAATATAACATATATGAGATCCCCTATTCCCAGTCAACACAGTTGTAAGGTTCAAAGTCTAGACACAAAACAAGAATTGATGTTTGAAATGTTGAATTCAAGTCATTTGAGCCATCAATGTAAATTATTAATTAGTAATTATTAATTAGTAATTAAAATGTAGCAACGTTATTATGTAATTAGTAAAATTATTTATAAAATATTATGTAGGACAGCCAGTTAATTAGAAATTTATAATGGTAATTTTTCGTATAAATTATTATAACCGTATTTAAATCATTGTAAAATCGGAGTCAATTAATAATGTGTTTTCAATATTATAAATAATAGAATATAATCTGATATAATCTTCTACACTTTTATAGTGTTTATTCATATATAAGTGATTCGAATGCACGTGTAATATTTCCGGAGCTTATCAGTTATGTATTCATTCGTATCAGTTACGTCAGACTATTTCTACATTGTAAGTGGTTGACGTCCACGTGTTGCTGGCTTTCCTCACAAACGATGAGATTTGATTGGTTTCTTTCGTTTACATATAAAAATAAATTTAAATTCGCGCGTTTTCTTCGATCGAGAGTGGACATCATTGCAGATCTATGGGTTGAAATATGTACATGCGCAAAGAAAACTACCACTCGCCAGGAGCTATGTCACGTATAGTGTATGCCGCATTGCACAGTTCAAGCTGGAAACGTCAGCACTTTAAATAGAAATGTTTCAAGAGAATTGGAAGGGAATGCACGGCTCTTCGTATGCGCAGTAGTTACATATTTTCGAGTCTTCGATCCTACGCTTGTATCTACCTTTCTTCCACATTTATAATATAAAAAATCAGTTTCAATTCAGTGAGAAAATGTCAGAACCGATTTTGAATCCTGTAAGTACTATTTCTATTTAAAATAACAAAACCACTTTACTGAGGAGCCATCTAAAATTCAATACTGCAGTGTTCTTATAATTTCAACGTTATCTGTAATACATAGTGTGTAATTTTCTTACGACCGAGTTTATTACACTTATCGTCTGTAAAGTGACCTACAAATTAAAAAAATCGTTTTAATTTCAAATACTCCTATTACATTTATAGATTATACAATTTAGAGGAAGATATTAGAATATCAAGATAATCCAAATATTAAAGTAATTTGTATAACAATGTACTAAAGAATTAGAATTTATGTTTTCATAGATGTAATGTTTAAGTAAATTAAAAATAATTGATTTATATATTGATTAATTTATATAAAATGTTTTTGATTTTGGAGAAACATTAATGTAATTTCAATAAATTTTTATACATTAACAGCCAATTCCTTATGTGGGAACTGTTGAAGGTGGTTTGGTACCTGGAAAAATGGTAAAAGTTAAAGGAAAAGTTCCTTCAGATGCTATACGTTTTGCTGTCAACTACCAATTAGGACCCACGTTAAATCCAAGGGATGATATAGCGATTCATTTATCACCACGTTTTCCAGAAGGTTTTATCACTAGAAATCATATAGAATCAATGGCTTGGGGAATAGAAGAAAATGAAGGTCCTATGTGTATTCAACCTGGACAAGAATTTGAAATACTTTTATTATGTGATCAAGCATGTTACAAAATTGCTATAAATGGCAGACATTTTGCAATATTTGCTCATCGATTACCATACCAGAAAGTTACTCATTTAGTTATTGATGGTGATGTAGAAATAAACTCTATTGTCTTTGAAAATGTTCCTAATCAACTACCTGGTTCTCCAAAAGCTGTGCCTACACCAGAAATGCCTACAGCAAACTTTGGACCACCACGTAATAAAAAATTAAAAATTTTGTTGTTACCTTAATTAATATAACTTCTTTGTTTCTTAACAAATAATGTTATAAATATTATTCATTTTATTTTAGCACCTGGTGGATTGTATCCAACTATAAATCCTCAAGGACCACAAGGTGGATATGGACCACCACAAGGTGGATATGGACCACCGCAAGGTGGATATGGACCACCACCAATGGGTTATGGACCCCCACCTGGTGCATTTGATACACCTGGATATACTCCTACAAAGCCATATGGATATCAACCAGGATATGAAAAACCAGAAGAACAAGATGCGTTTGGTGGTTGTTTAGATAAAGTTGGTTTAGCGTTAGGTGGACTAGTTGCAGCTGGAGGCATAGCTGCTGCTGCCCACGCATTAAATGTACATAACTTGAACTAATGATGTTCACTATTTAAAATTCTAAAAATTTAACTGTACCTTAAATTTTTCTTAAATTATAGAAAAAGAAAGATGAAGAGACAGAGAAAGAGCATGAAAAATCAGACGCTTCAAAGTCAAAAACAGAAAGTGAGGGTGTTTTTGGAAACCTTGGTTCTCTTGGTGCAGCTTTAGCAAGCAATTTAGTAAGCAATGCTTTACAAAGCAACTCGCATGCACAACAAGGTTATCCTCAACAATCCAGTGGTGGAGTATTGGATTCTATTCTTGGAGCATTAGGTATATATATGACTCGCAACTTACAACACCTTAATTTTTGTCTTCGTTTAACAGTTTTTAATAATTGGTTACTCAAGATAAAAATGACTATAAAGAAAAGTTTTAAATAATTGCATAAACAACATCTATTGAAAACTATTTTTACACTTTTGACAACGATAGAAATTTAATAACAAACATTTTAATACAATTTGACTATAATTAAAATATATTCTAATTCAACTGACACTTTCATCAACACTTTTTAATACTTCAACTAATTATTCTAGTAACTTAAATTTGTATGTATGTATATTTAAATTAGGTGGTGGTAATAGTGGTCCGCCAGCTCAACCACCACCAAGTCAACCAAGTGACCCACTATCAGGAGCCCTAGGATCCATTCTTGGTGGTGTTCTTGGTGGTGGTGGAGGAAATCAACAACCACCGTATCAACCTCAAGGGGGTTATGGAAATTATCAACCTCAAGGGGGTTATGGAAATTATCAGCCTTCTGGTGGATATAGTAATCAACAACCAAGTTCAGGTTCGGATCTTTTATCAGGAATAGGTTCTGCAATCGGTTCTTCTTTGTTTAACTCTGCTCTAGATGGTCTCAGCAAACGTGGCAAAGGTGTAAGTATAAATTATTTTAGAATTTATAAGTTTACAAGAATTTTGTAATTAAATTGTACAATGTTTGTTCTCATGCAGAAATCTCATGAGGAAGACCATTCAGCTCCTCCACCATCTTATGTACCAAGTACACAACCTTCTTCACAACCTGCTCCATCTTCCGACAACCCTCCTTCTTCTGGGCAGAAATTAACTGCAGATGAAATATCAAAAGGCCTAGGTTTGGACGATTAATGTAAGTTGAAATAAAAAGTCACATAAAAGTATATATACATATATGTAATATGTATGTGTACATATATGTAGAATGAGAATTTTTCGCTATTTTCATTGATTTAAAACGTAAAATGCGCTGCATTCTTCAGTTCATGAATAAGCTAAAAAACTATAAACATGACATGCACATTTTCTGACTATGTTATGAACAATTGATACAAAAGCAGCTAGTTTATTACACGCGTACAACATTTTTAATGTAATAAAAAAGAATAGTACAAGTTGCTTTAATCTTGTATTAAACGAAACGATATTTTGTATATAAATTATTTATTTAAGATAATTCTCCGCCGAAAGTGCTTTTATAGAATGTTATAGCAGAAATTATAAACAAAATAAAACAAAATATTTATGTGTACATATTTCAAGCTTTATGAACAACTAGAAGTTTATAATTTGATTGTTGTTTTCTAAGATTTATTATATTTTTATAAAAATATTAGTGGCCTTAGAATTATATGCAGAACATTTTGTTATTTATTCTGTTTACATAATATATAGAAAATAAAGTATATGTACCTACATAAACATTTCTTTCATTGATAAATTTATTCTTGGTCAAAATCTTCACTTTTTAAATTTGTATTTAAGGTAATGTCTTTATTCTGTAACATAATAACTATTAATCACTGTTAAATATTTCTCTGTGTAGTAACTTTTTAATTTATTATGTACTTACATTTATTTTAGATGTCAATATTTTAAGTTCTTCTCTTTTTTTTCTTTTAAAGAATCCAAGTGTAATCAATCCTAAAAGTAAAAATGCAAGCAATACAATGCCTAAAGTAATCGACAAAATTATTAACCAACTGGCAAGTTGTTCAGTTATTGGTGAACCTAAAAACATTGTGGCAACAATAGCGCTATTAGGTTTTTCCTCATATTTCTGAGTAATATATGTTTGTCCAATATTTGCGCTTCCATTGGATACAAAAAATATTATATCTTTTCTTTCTGACATAGTTGCTAGAATATAAAATAAAAAATATAAGTTATTTAGAAATCTTTAAAAAATTATTTATATTAAGCAAATATAAAAAAAATCTTACATATAAAATTTTGTAAATAAAGATCCAATGTAAGAGAAAGTTTAGCAGATAAGAAATCTGTGAAGGGGCCCAGTGCGCATTTAAGATGTGTACATTGTATATTAGTATTTGAACAATTGAGATATAATGATCTATTCATGGGCGGTAAACTTATCGAAAAATTGGTCTCTGGTTTAAATTCTTCTTCCATACTAAATTTAGAATTTGTAAAATTTGAATATATACAATAAAATTGTTGCCCATTCATATAACCACTTGTCTTGTTGAGATTAATAATATGTATATTTCCAGTAGAGTGCTTCCAATATGTTGGAATACTAACTGTTAGGATAACTTTTTCAATTGGGCTAACTCCAGATTTTTGAACTTCGTAAAAGTGTTCAAATTGAATACTACTTAATTGCTGTTCTTCATTATCAAAATATGAATATAAAACATCTTGTGCTTTCCTAATATATTTATATACAGAAAAAAAATATATAAAAATTATTATTATTTAATGATACATAAATATTATAACAGCAATATTAACTAACCCAGTTATTTCTATATTAATATCAGTATCAAAGTATATAATTAAGGAGTATGTATTATTTGATGGATATTTTTGTTCACTTTGCATGGTAAAATTTGTTATTAACTCTATTTGATTAATATCATATAGAATCTTAGTCGTATCCAAAAATAAAATTAGTGTTTCCTAAAAGAATATTTAGTTTTATAATATTATTTTAGAAATTCCTATATATAGCATATAAAACTTACATTTTTTTTTAATGGATTCTCAATATCACAAATTAGTTCTGAAGTATTATTTCTGTGAGAACTTTCAATACATGAAGGCGGTATACTTTCTAAAGGTATTGATTCTGGGATATATACATATATTTTAGTTTGATATGCTGGTTCGCCATAATTGTGGATATTTATTATAAACTTAATAACAGACTTAGATCCTATTGTGTATCTATTTCCAAGCGGTAAATCTGTAGATAACGTTATTCTAACATCTGATGTGCAGATATTATCTTCTCCACAATCCACAGCAAATGGCAGCTTTATTGAATCTTCAGTTTTAGACTGTATTTTATTTATACTTGCACAGGATTTACAAAAAATATTTGAATTTGTTTTGTTCAGTTGTGCATTCTTAGATTGCAAATTTTCGTTTAAGGTAATTGATACAGATATTTCTAATGGATCTATTATATTTTGAATATTTTTCTAAACAAATTAAAGAGTAAGAATAATATTAATTAAGTAAGAGTAAGAGTAATAAAGATTTATAATAAAAAAGAAAGTTAAAAAATCTTATACATGATATATATTTTTTACCTTTAAATGAATTTTATATTCTTTACATGAAGTTTCATTTTTGTTTAATTCGTATTCTTTATAAATGTAATTATTTCTTTCTACACCATAAAATGCTCTTCCATGCATTTGATCAATGGTTAGAAATGTAACAATTTCTAAGTAAAATAGATTTGTTAAATTTGTTATTGAGATATGATTATTTTTGTTTATGTGATTATTTATTGATACTTTCATCACATACTTACCCAAATGTTCAGGGGGGTTCATTCCACCATAAAACGTACATCCTTGAATAAAAAAGTTTGTAGAATTTTGTAATAACTTTTCCTTTCCAGTATAAATTAGTTCTGTTGTTATCATTACAACTGGTTTAGATGTTACTACAACTGTTTGTTCTGATAAATAAGCTCCTATAGCAATATCAGGATATTTATCAGCATTTATATCCCGTGGTTCCGAAATTGAAATTCCAAATCCACGAATGTTTTCGTCAAACTGCTTTCCAAATATTTTTTGACTGTAGCGTTTATATAATCCATTACTGTTGCCATTAAATATATATATTGCACCCGTTCGATCTTCATATGGTGCACCAACAGCAAAATCAGCATAGCCATCATAATCAATATCACCAAGACAAGTTATAGCAGAACCAAATCTACTTCCAGATCTCTGCCCTTCAAATGTTTGTTTCTCAAACATGCCCTACAATTAATATGCAATACCAGTGCAGTGATACCTCGACTTACGAACCGCTCTACATACTAACTCTTAAAGTCCTGAGTTATAATATAAAGGAAAACTGAGTTTTGAGATACAAACTTAGGATTGGAGCGAATTAAATTCGTAAATCGAGGTACTACTGTACATATATTAATATATTAACGTGTTTCAGTCTTTAATGTATTTTTACAGGATAATACCATACAGGTGTCTGTCACTATTTGTAAAAATATAAATAGACACTCTATACATATATTTTTGTGTACTTCCTGCAAATGCTACAAATATTACGTGATGACAACAATATCATAATATAAGTGATTAAAGTAATGACTTATGTTCTTCGAATCCTGGATTAAAATTTTAAATACTGAAGAATTCTTTGCTATTTATTATATAGGTACATTTATAAAAGTGACAATAATGTTGTATGAAAAATATAAATATGTAATACGACTCACAATACAATAAGAACGAGGTTGTTCTACTTATGAAAGCAAATCAAAATTGTAAAAAAAATTATTTTTTCTGTAGAGTAAATCTAATAGTATCATATAATATTAGACCAAACACAGTCATGTTTGTAAATTAAATTACCAAACAAATGAAGATGACTTATATAATGATTTTGGAATTATCACTTCATATTGATAGAATTTGTATAAAGTATGTGCAATCAATTGCTTTCACCTTTAAAATTATTAGGTGCTTACATTGAGTATCATATACACACCTAACAAACAAAAATATATAAAAAGTGATAACAACTACTTTATCTACATTGAGTAAGTATATACTAAATTTTTATTAATATTTGTTATCTAATATCTAATTTGTAATTTTTATAAGTTTCTTACTAAAAAAATATTGAATATTATATAATAATTATGTATATTTTTTATTGTACATACGTTATGGGAAGTGGTAAAAATATATATGCGACCTTCGTCTATGTCTTTTGTCCACAGTGGTGCTCCAACTATTAGTTCATCTTTACCATCACTATTAAGATCACAGGATGATAAGGTGGCTCCGAAATATTCACCATGCTGTTCTCCATTTACAGTTCTTTTGTTTTCTTCATTACGATAATTAATGCTATTTATATAGCGATGATTGACTAAACTAACTTGTCCAATCATGCTAGCAGCTCTTGGACCACTAGAAGCATACCACAATTCTCCTTTTTTAAAGTAATAACCAGCTGTTACTGCGTAGCCTAAAGAAAATTTGAACATTAATTTTAATAATTTACATAATATAAGTAAGGTAAGTTATAAAAAATAAAACACAAATATTTGCTTTTGATATGCAGTACTAATCTGATATATTTTATATTGTCATAATAATAAGCAGTTCTTATAGATTATTGTACTCTCCATCACATACAGTTGTGAAGAAATTTAATTTTAAAAATTATTTGAATCTTAACTTTAAAAACGAATGTAGAAAATAATTCTATACATTCTATCAAATATAATATTTATTTTAGTAATTTTATAAACATTTCAGTATGTTTAAATAATCTTTACACGATCTCGACTCTTCATCTTACTTATTCTTGTATAGAATTTATTTGTGATCTTTAATACTCAAAATAAACTAAAGAACATCCGTAACGTATTAACTTTTAACGGATGTTTCGCCTGCTTTATAGATTGTTCAAACATATTTAAATGGGTATAATGTTATAAAAATATATACATGTAGTTGCATTTAAAAGAATACACGGAATTATTTTCTTCAAGAAACATTTATATGGCTTTTATAGTTAACGCACAAATTATTTTTAAAATATGAATTTGAATTTTTTTTCAAAATTAGATTGCACAAACCCGAATGCTTATTAAATTTCGGAACATAATAAAAAAGTGTGCTATATCATGATTTTTTAAATTGGGTCTACCATTTATTAAACAATCATCAAAAATATTCGTGAATGTTAAAGTATAATATGTGTTGTAAAATCTCTGTTTTATGTAGTTACTAATTTCTTAAAAATATTCAAATTTTTTCATACATCTTTTTATGAATCAAATTTCATTGTGTTTAGCTATAATGAAGTACCATAGGCCTACACATATTTTACTAATTTTATACTTTGAAGTTATAATTACTTTATTTAAAATTTTATGTTCAAGAAAACTCCAAAATGATGTTAGTCTATTAGAGTGAGGTCATCTTAGTACTAATTATAATGAAAAGAATGATGAAGTATATACTACATGTAACTTAATATATTAAAGAGGTAAATAGTATTTTTTTTTCATTAAAATATAAGTAACTTTTATGAATTTATGAACAATATTCCTAATAAAAAATAACGTTAATAATAATAATAATAATTCGATAAACCCACTTAAAATTTGTTTCTATGAAATGTATTTTGCATCTAATTAATGATGTGATGTATGCATACTGATAAAATTTTGAAATAATATTTACCAAAATAATTATCCGATGCATCTTCACTAGGATGTATAACTTGAAATGTGTTAAATGAATCTGTGACTAAAACGAAATGACCTTTCTCTTCAAATGCTCCAGGGCAACCTAATAGCAGTGATGTTTGTAATTTATATTTGTAGATCATATGTAAAGAAAATCCAACTTCTCTTTTTCCTATATCATGAATGTTTTCTCTTAATTGTTTCATTAATTGGCTTTTGATAAAAGTACGTATCTCCTGTTCAAATTCTACATTAAAAGTTGTAATGTTTTGAACCCTTATCAAGTAACAAATTCCTGGAATGCTCCTGTACTTTGATTGGTTCGAATCAAATGTCAAACGTGGACCACAAACCTATTTATATAAATATATTAATTAATGTATATCTACATGTATATGTAGAAGAAAAATCGTTACAACAAATTAAATATTAATAAAAATAGATACCACAATTTTAGGATCAATTTTATTTTCAACAGCAATTGTTGCACCATTCCACATACTGTTTTTAATTTGTTTAATATTACCATCAAATGTTTCAGGTATATCAATATTCCATTCTGTGCATACACCATTAATTGGACAGTGGTATACAGTTCCCGGTTCATATACATTCTGCATTGCACTTACATTTGCTCTAGGCGCACCAACAAGTAAAACAGAATCTTTTCCTTGTGTGTAAAATGCGGTAGAGAATCCAAAATAACTTCCACGTTTGTGATTAGAACTTTTTGGAATATTGAATATTTTAACATTATTAACATCTAAATTATATGTGAGTACAGTATATTTTAACATTACAAGAATAAAAAACGAGATATTAAGTATAAGTAGTACTGAAAATCTCAACATTTTAAGTAATTAAAATTAATGAAACTACTCAGCAGGGAGTGTTATGTATACTGGTTCTTAAATTTTTGAAAGAGTAGAATGAGTCATATTCACAGGAAGATGTATCTACCTATCTAGAAACCACAAGAATGAATAAGCATTATTCAATATAAATGTCTCGTAATATTACTGCAGTTAAAACCATAATAATAAAATAATACATAATTTAAGCAATTCTCTCCTTTATTTATTATATAAGTTAATAGAGAAATATAAATGCAGGATTAAATAATGCAATATTCTTAATTTGCTTTCAAAGCTAAACATATAAGAAAAAGTATATTAATTTATTGTTTTATTATTTTCCATCACACTTACAAACCATGTCAACAACACACATTAGCTGAGTCGCATTGTAATAGCTAATGTAACGTTACTTTATATATAATTCTCGGCGGTGTGGTAGTTTCGATTACATATGATTTAATGGTCATATAGAAATATGTTAATTTTGCAGTAAGAAACCGAGCTAGTGTAAATAATTATGATGTCGGTCGTTAGTAATTTGAGAGATGAAATATTACAAAATTTATAACTTTCTGTACCAATTACAACATATTTGATTTGCGATTAAATTGTAATTACGGCTATCGATCATGGTGAAAACACATTATTACCGAAGCTTTAAGATATTGTTACTCTGAAACAGTCTTGTACCATGAGAGATTCTAATAAAACAATTATAAAGGTGTTTTGTATTGTAAGAGATTCCAATAGAATACATATGTTAACAAGAATCTTTCTGTATGATACGGATCTTTACGAAGATAACAGAAAGATAATAAAAAATAGAAGAAAATAGAAAAAAAAACGACCATATACGTGTGTGATCAAACTTAGTATTATAAAAATATACTTTAAGGAATCACAGATTCATTATGTACAAAGGGAAAGGGATTAAAAGTCTGAAGGTAATAGGATTTTAATCGGAAGAATCAGTTGTAGTTGAAATGGTTTGTGGTAAAGGCGCAGATCGATTATGGTAGCTTCGCCTCGCTACATCCACTTTCTTCCTAAAACACTCTAAACTTTTCAATTTCTGTTTGTAATCAGAACTTTCTGCATCGTTTTGCTCATTTTGTGCTTGTTCACCATTTTTTTCAACTGTAGATACTCCTGATGTAATACCACTGTCGGGAGTTGAAGGAACTTTGCATGACTTGTTCACAGGCGTCGATGGACCATCTTCTTGAATTTTTGTCGAGTCAACACCATTTAAATAAATTTTCCAGTCCGATTTTTCTTCCTCTGTATCATAATCAATCTGTTGTCGTTTGCTTTTGCTTTTATTAACATCGTTTCTCGAGTTACTTTTACATTTTCCATGTTTTCTTCTGTGTATTGTTGTAGAAGCGTCAGAATCAGTTTTCGAATGTTTTTGTTTACTACAACTATCACTATCTTCTGAACTGCTACAGCTATAACTTGAATGTTTTGTATCACTTTCGATTGTATTTGCAACAAATCGTGATCTTCTAGAAATTACACCAGAACTGGTACTAGGTTGCATTGTATCAACTGGTTGTTCATCACTATCGGAGTCACTGTTAATGTGTAACACAGCACACTTTCTTCTAGCTCTACTTCTTCGTCCAGAAATTTTATCATGTTTTCTTTTTATGCCTTTTACTTTTGATTTTGATTTTGATCTATGCTTCGTTTGTGCATTTTCTCCATCACTTGTGGAGTCTGAAGTAGATAAACCTGGAGCTATAGTAGAAGTATTGTTTAATGGTGCGCCACAATCCATAGCGGCAAGTCTCATCAGTTCTTCTCTGCGATTTGCTATAAGTCGTGTTATACGATTTGGTGACTCTAAATCAGGAGCTACTCCACCTCTGGGAGTTCTTCCAATTGTAATTTCCAAAATACTTAACATTAATTGACGATTATAAGATGTAGAATCTACAAAGGTATATTATTTTATATAATACATATGATTTTTTCCAGTTAATTTAGTACAATTTTATCTTAAAAAGATCATATACCATCAGTATCGGTTAAATTAGAAATTTGTCCATTTATAGAACTGTTATCAGAGTCACTACTATTAGGTGTTTCTAATCCTGATGCCATAGAATCAGAACACCAACCCTCAATTTCACGCTGAACTAAAGAATCGAAGAATGCCATCATTCTTGGATCTTCTCTAGTTGATTGATGACTGTAATCGTGTGTCATGAATTGACCACTACGTAATACTAATCCAATGTATTCATTATGTGTAAATACTTTACGTTGTCTTTCTTGAGGTCCATCATCTTTCTAAAATAGCAATACATAAAATGAGATATAAATCGACAATGCAAGATTTATGATAAAAATATTTATTTCTCTTTACCTTTAATCCACCTAAACAATCATGTTCAAGAGAAAATGGGCTCCAAATTTTAATAATTTTTTCAACTCCAGAGGAAGCAAAAATACAACTAGCTTGATTGTATCGTACTTGATTAACAATGGATTTATGACCACGTAATACCATATGCGCAGATTCCACCCATTTGACATCGTCGGGAGGAATTTTCCACATGTATAAATTGAAGTCATCAGAACCTAGAATAAGCAAAATTATTTATACATATATATATGTATTGATGATATGTTAAAACTGCTTATATACCTTTACAAAATTATTATTTACCAGAAAGAACATATTCGTCATTATCTCCAGCGAAACAACATGATTTCATTGTACAGCTATTATAATATCCAGGATGATCGAATTGACATAAATGAGTAGGAGAATCTATTGCATAGAGTACAGGGGGTAACCTCCTTCTCAAAGCTAATAATCTATTACCAGCTGCATTAAACCTAACATTCATGCAACTCTGTGCTGAGCTCTTGTTTCCATAACGCAACACAGGTCTATAAATATAAATCAAATTAATTTATTATCATTTAAGTAAACGGTAATAAATAAATTTGTATTGATTACTTACTCTAAAAGTTTTCGTACGTCCCATAAGCTAACACCTTCTTTGGCATTGGCAGTAGCGAGCACTTTGGGCTCCACAGGATTAAACATGACAGAGTGAAAAGCAGTTTTGTAATTTGCTAGGCAAAACATTTCCATAGCACTAGAACCTCTTATATCATAAATTAGAACTCTTCCGTCGTCGCAAGCACTAGCAAATACATTGTCGTTATGTGGATGAACTGACAAACCATACACAGGCTTCTCGTGTAAAAAGAAATTTAGCACATCACCCCTATAAAATATGAACAATTATTCGATTGTTCATTATTATATAAAAATGTTCTAAATTCGAAGTATTCGTACGTTCGTAAATCATGAACAATAACTTGATCGTCATTTCCTGCAGAAAATATTTTGGTTTTGCTGCTGTCGTAACCAAGGCAAAAAATGTTGCTGACATGTTGAGCTTTCATGACTGCAGGTTTACCTACACCATGTATCGCTTGCTCCACTTTCCACAATAAAACTCTCCTGTCATCACCACCTGTTAAATTAGCCCATAAACTAACTTTATCTTATACAACAGATTTTCAATATAATAATTAATCTAATACACACTAAACCACAAATACATTAAAAAAAAATTTCTTCTACAAAAGAATTTAAATGATAAAAAGTTGTACAAAACAGTAAACTTGGTTTTAGTTTTCCGTCGAGCTCCAACTTTAAAAATCGACGGTAACGTAATAATGTACAAACTAAGATGCAATAAATATCATCTTAATTTCTTACCGGAGACAAGAAGATCGCCTTGATTGGAAAATTCGATAGCATTAACACATCCATAATGAGACAATAGATCCTTTCTGAATAGATTTTCGGAGGTATTGAATCTTGCGTTAACAAGACGTTTGCAGTGATCGACTTTATTGTCGATTTGTCGCGTAATAAGGTACGAAAGTGGATTACAGGCGGAAGGACGAGCCATTTCTTCTTTGCGAGTAGTAGATACTTCTGAACGCAAAAACGGATAAAACCGTCGTGTCTTCACCTTTCGTCCCTTTCTTCCATGTATCCTGAAACGCCCGTATTCTCTTGTTTGGGTAGGATCCTTCGTGCAAATCAAAACTCTAGAGATATCTCACACCGTTTGATCGAGAAACCGGAAAAACTTAACAAATAGGGGAATTTGTGGCGCAATCAAGCTCGCAAGACTATTAGATGTTGCGGCTATTATAAGTTTCGTTGTGGTCGATCTTATATTTATTCTGTGACAGACGTGTCGCGATTATACATCTCACGAACCCACACAAACATGAATCTCGCACGAGGCGCGTATCACGCACGAACGCACTGCCAACGCAGGCAAAGTATGAAATACCTACATATACACAAGGGTTTTGTACCCACTCGAGCGGATTGTCTTACTCGAGCACGATCAGCTGATCACTATTCAGCGGCTCCACGTCGCGATAATTCTACAGATCTTTCTCGTTCGACCCGGTACTGGTGGTTTTCTTACATACATTTTACACTCTGTTTCACAATCGCATGAAATCACAATCTCATATTTGAATGTTCTAATGGTTTATTATTTTCAAGTTACGTTCAACTGTCATTCACAATCTCTGGTCGACGTTGAAAAAAACAACGAGCATGGATACCGGCGCCACGTTGCGTATCTCGCGTGTACTTCTGACCGGTCCTCCTGGTGAGTCCGCGACTTTTAAAAAGTAAATACAAGAAGTTCTAAGGGTCACTTAAATTTCATCTTCAGAATATTTAAAAAATTCATATTTATAATAAATTATACATTGAAGCGTATTATATAATTTACGTATTTTCTTAATAAATAGAATATTAAAATAACATTAGTATACAATTATTTAAGCGGTATAAATAAATTATTAAAAATCTTTAACGCTACATTGATGCTTAAATTATATTTATTGTAAATAAGAAAGGTTTATTTATATTAATTTTAATGAAAACATGGTATAGGTATAGGGAAAACTACAATATGCAAAAAAATAAATTCTATGCTAAAAGAGCGAGCATATAAAGTTGACGGATTTTATACGGAGGAAGTGCGGAATAAAAGTGGTAACAGAATCGGTTTTGATGTCGTACTTGTAAACCGTTCTGAGAAAAAATCAACATTAGCAAGAGCTGAGTTAGTATTATTTTAAAATTATAGAAAAGTTTGATTTAATTTTTACTTAAAGCAATATTATTGTAAACAGAAATATTCTAAATCAATCACAACATACTAAACATAAGGTGGGAAAAAAGTACCATGTATTTCTTAATGATTTTGAAGCGGCGGTATTACCAATCTTTGACTCCAATGCAGTAAGTGAAATATTTTCAAATACTATTTGTATACTTACTTTATATTCAAATTACTGATTTTTATTATGTTTTTAGGACATATTAATTATAGATGAAATTGGCAAAATGGAATTATTTAGTCAAAAATTTCATGAGAAAGTACTGAAAGTATTTTCTGAAACTACAAACGATTCTTTTGTGATCGCAACAATACCTGAAATGCATCGAGTACCACAAAAATATTCATCGTTATTTAAACATTTTCAAGCTGATAAGAAATCTAAAATTATAACTGTGAATCATCAGAATCGTGATAGCTTAGTAGAAGAAATATTTCATTTTCTTTCATAATTTACAATTT